CCGCCATGACCACCTCCGAAGTCGTGTCCTCCTCCGCCATGACCACCTCCGAAGTCGTGTCCTCCTCCGCCATGACCACCTCCGAAGTCGTCTCCTCCTCCTCCTCCAAGGCCCCCGAAGTCACCTCCATGACCGCCGCCGAAATCGTGACCTCCTCCACCGTGACCTCCTCCAAAGTCACCACCATGTCCACCACCGCCGCCTAAATCGTATCCTCCATGGCCGTGGTCATCGTGACCTCCTCCAAATCCACCGCCGCCGCCCCCATGTCCTCCTTTCAGGTGATCAGCGAATCCTCCGTGCAAATGTTCGGCAAATCCTCCCCCGTGACCTCCTCCATGGCCGCCACCGTATCCTCCGCCACCCCCATGCCCTCCACCACCACCGCCATGTCCGTGGTCCTCGTGTTGCTCGTGAACTACGACCTCTTTCGACGTATGGTGTTGTTCAGGTATATGAATCCGGATGTGTACACTGTAACAAAAATTCAATTTTGCTGAATGCGTCCATAACTAGCAATAATAAATCGCTTTATTAATAGTAGGTACAGGTTACATCAATCGCAGTAGCAACAAAGGTGACGGGTGAAAACAAACCATATAGGGTAAATTGTTATGTTATTAGAACACAATAGGTCGATTTTCACCGTTTACCACAATGAAGAGGCGCGTGAGAATCGCTTATAGAAATTCGAATGCTCCATCCATAGTTTTTGCGGTTCCGCTAACAACTTAGTGGCGAAGCGTAGCTAATCGTTGTATAAACGCGTTAAAAAGTACGACATTGGCGAATGTGAAACAATGGGCAACAACTATGGACCGAGAGAAATGTGGGAACATGATAATACTAACTGCTCATGTCCGAAAGTCGCGAAGCAGACGCCAAGACTAGCCAGTAGGAAGCAGCTCAGCTGAAATAACAACAAGGATTTCAATAGATCTTTAACCCCTAAAATAATATTACTTATATAAACAAATTATAAAATTATTTGCCAAAAAAAGTCAACAAAGTAATGTAATGTAATTCTATTGTTAAGTTTGTCATTGTTTGATCTCAAAATTTGTTTACATCATACGTTATTAAATTACACCCGTGCATTTTGAAAGTATTTCGTAATAAACATTTGTAGAGTTGCGTCGGCTTAGCTATTCTGTACTAGACGATATCGAAAGTGGTCAGTGCAGTATATATTATGTATTATATGTAGATATACTATCTGTTGAGCTCGACCGCTGACGTAATAACGAGATCAATGCGTCTACGCAGGATATTTATGCGGGTATTTTATTGGCAAGTGAGATCAATGACTTACATCGATTGTTAAGTAACGTAAGTACGCAATAATTATACGTATACGTATAATTTTTGTACGTATACGGATAATAGACTGTATTTTGTGGGTGTATGTTACGTAACTAATTTGGGAACCGATTTTGATGATTCTTTTTTTGATGCAAAGAGGGTGCCTCAGTATTGGTCCTATTTAAATTTGAAGAAAATATTCCCTCTCGAAGGGTGGCAAGCTAGGGGATGAATTTCGGTAACCGATTTCAATAAAACTTGGCAAATAAATGTAATAGCACGAACTTTTGAGGTCGGCTTTTCTTAAAAAGGGATAATTATTATGGTCACTCACAGTACGTCGTCATCATGTTAGTCGACTTAATTGTATGGAGGTAAATTGTTTACTTGATATTTTGTTAAATTTGTCGATAAAATTTGCGATATTTTACAATTGGTTGGTTTGAAAAAACAAATAAGTAATACGCTATTCAGACTCGAAAAAATAGTTTCATTTCCTATGAGTAACAATCGCGAAAACCTAAGAACTCGTTATTTGCAATAGTATTTGAATATTTTGCACGTTTGAATTAAATTTTAAAGAAAGATATTCGTATGTTATTCATAATATTGTTTTGCACATTTAAATTGCAATTGAATATTAATATGTAACTTAAAAAGTATGTACCAAAGTACGAAATTATTTTAGTAGTACTTATACTAAGTCAATTAAACATTTAACACCTTTAAACTACACAATATCCCTCATATTATCACCGACTTAAATAGCACTTTCAATTTATAAGATTTCACGTGAAAAAAATAACGAAACAAAGTCCTGGTTTAGTCCTTGCCTGGCGGCACAATCCAAAATTCGCTTTGACGCGAGAGTAGGGTCTATGGGTGTACTCACGGCCCAGCGGGACGCCATGATGTGAGGAAAGGTGAAAAGGCGCCTCCTTAACTGGCCGAGCGACTGTCGAGCGAACTCTTGCGTACCTCTAACTGCCAAAGCCTTTTATATGACAAGTGAATGCAACCCCCTCTCAAAAACATCTCCACATCTCCAATACGGCAAAAAGTTACTAATAATGTAAATATGAGTAATTAAAAACAATACTCATTCCGTTACTCTTCCCGTATTATGTAATGTTAATTATTTCCATGTGTTTGGATGTGCTCGTACTGCAAGGAATACGACTTATTGTTCGCGTAATTGTCTTATTGTCATTTTAAATATACGTTTTTGTGTAAAAGTTACGGATTTGATTACTTTATTAACTGACTCGTGTAAATTCCACGGAATATTGAACCACCTTGATGTACTTTAAAGGTAAAACCACATATAGACATTTCCACAAAAACTATTGCAATTTATTAGATTTGGTAAAAAATCAATATCTTTCTGCACGTGAAACTCAATATTACTAACAAAAAAGCTACAAAAAGCTTTATCTGCAGAAACATATTGAATTTCTAACAACTCGTACATAATTTGGACATTTTTGGTGGAAAATATCACTTATGTGTGTATACCTTTAAGTAGATGATATGAATCTATTAATTATGCCCCCAAATTTCAAAGCTCTAATTTTCATACTCAAAGAAAAATAAAATTACACAAATGAGAAAAAAAACAGAATTTATTGAAATAATTATTAAAAAATATTTAATTCAAAATAAAAAAAGATCTGTTAATATATGTTTGTGTATATACACGAGCTCAGAGAACTGTTGAAATCAGTTTGCACTATTTTCTACCCTGATTTTTGACCCGACCCGGCCAATCTCTCACACAAAACGCAAATAAACGTCAAATAAATACACAATGATTGATGAAAATAATAATAACAATATTATTAATATAAAACAATAATAAAAATAAAATTATTCTACACAATTATTCAATAGACATCGCACAGATTGCAGATTTTTACTTTTACTTGAGTTGAAAATTAAATGCATTTCTTGGTTTGGAAGGAATTTGGATTTTGTATCTGTTTACTGCCGCCGTCATTTTAATAGAGTCGGGTTTTTAATTAGAGATAACAAAATAACAGCCACTAATGCTACTTTGAAAAATAAGTTTGCCGTCTTTAACGTGTAAAGTTCAATTTTTATAGAATTTAACGAAACAGTATCAGTGAAACAAAGACATTTAAAGAAACTTTTTTGAACTACGAAACATGGCATAAACAATGCGAAATATCCAAAAAATATGCTGTAATATAATATAGAAGGAAAGGATAAAAATAGAAGTGAAATAGTAAACTTTACACCTTCATGTCTTCTGGTTATTCTTCTAGGTCCGCGCCCTCGGGTATCGTGCCCAAAGGATGGCTGGCTACTTTTTTCCTTTAGATGGTTTAGATTAATTCTCTAGTGGACGTAGCTGCCAGTCTTCTACTCACCGAAGGCTACTTACTACGCGGCGAACTGTAAGTAACTCGCTCTATTACTAAATATTCCCTATTTGGTGCTAATAGTTGCCAATTTTCTCATTGATTTTTCTTTATACTGTCACGGTTGACTGTCCATGGGACCTGTAAAACGCCCGAAACGTTGGTTTGTTTGAGAGAACAAATATACGCGATTTAAATCCGGAAAAATAGTTTCATTTCCTACAAGATATAATTACCTTAACGACCCACTGACTCAATGAACTCCATTCTTTAAATGAGTGTCATTTTAATTTCTTCAAAAAACTAACAACTCACTAATCATCAGTTATAAATCTGACCATTGGAATCCCAAATATATAGGAAAATATTTGGTACGGGGGCACACAATTACTTCAAATACACCATATTCCATAAACAAATATTACAAACCCTATTAATCTAAATATAGATACTATAATAACTAAAAGGGAAAATAAAATAGAGGCAGTACTGATGAAAATAGCGATTTATTAAACGTACAATTTTGATAACTTCGAAAGTATTATTTTTTATATTCCTGCCCATACAGACTTCTAAATTGTGTTTAACAACAATACTCCAATTGAAAAACAAAAATTCAAACAATTCATCTGACCTATACGAACAACAAATTTCTCTACGTATGTAGAGCGATTGGTCCCATCAAAAAGTATTTTAATTATTGTTTTTAGACAACCATTAGTTACAATGACACAAGATCATACAGAACAATTTGTTATTATTTAATATCATCTTTCACTGAAAGCAACCATCATAACAGATTTCAAATGCAGGAAGAGGTTTATAAAACTCGAAAACAAGTCTCCTATCCACAAACACCATGTTCTATGAGACACCCGTGCCCTGCAGTGAGACGTATATATGCTGACATAGTACTAGAATGTTTACAAATAATAAATATACATTTAAATAACAGTTAGCATGACCAAAGCGACGTTGAACTTTTATTTCCGTAAGCTCGAATTTTGTTTACATCAGTTTCTCGCTAGATGACTCCACTAGTACCCTGAAACGCGATATCGGTTTGTTACGCGCTGTTCCCTATGTCTCTCATAGAAATTTGACATGATGTAGATGTGGTTATTAAAGTCTTCATAACAAATTTTTGTAGGGTCTAACGTAGTACGAACTGCGTCTGTGTACTACGTAGACTTACGTTTTACATTTTCAACTGTGCCACGAAAAAGTAGTTTGTAACGTTATAGTAACGTTATTAATTGTGAGAGATTGCTCACCGTCACGAAAAGAACCACCTCAAACTCTTTGAGTGATATAGAAAGCAATACAGAGATAAATCTGCTGTTTTGCGTTGATTGTAAAGTTATTACAATAATGTAAATTTTAGCGAAATTATTAATGTAAGTTATGAAAATTAATATTAAGTAAATTAATTAGGTATTGTCGAAAATTATTGTAGTAACTCAAAGCTCCCCTCTATAACATCGGGTCCTTCAAACGTAGTGTGAAGAAGCATTTGGCCAGACCGGCAAAATGATAGTGACGGAATGAAGATATTTGTGTTTTCCATCCGTTACTCTCATCTCTGGACTGTATTCGCACTTTCCATCAGGCGCGGTGCAGTCATTTTGCCGAGTCACAATAAAAAAAAAGCTACGAACCATTTTGAGATTAAAAAAAAGGTTATTAGTAGATGTAGGTCTGTGAATTTGATATAGTAGCAGTAGAGGTCCTTGTGAAAGATTTGTCCTGGGAAGTCCTGCCACTTTACCTATATCTTCTACCAAGTAATGTGAGCATTACTGGGTTCCGGTTTTGAAGGACGGCCACTGATGACATTACTGGCACAAGGGACTTGTCAACTTATGACTCAGAGTGACAGGCGCGGTGATAGAGTCCCTTAGATATTTGCGGCTTTAACACCAGGTATATAACTTGTTCGTTCAATCACTAGACATCATAAAAAAAAAAATTAGCTACTCGCTTGCCCATAACAGTTGCAGTGCCACTCAGAGCTTTAAATCGCAAAGATCTGAGGAGCCACTGTGCCGGTCACTCTGAAATATAAGTTGACAAGTCCCATGTGCCTGTAATTTCACCAGCACCCTTACCCTTCAAAACTGGAACACAGTAATGCTGACATTACAGCTCGGCAACAGAAATAGGTAAGGCAGTAATTTCCTGGACCAACTCTTTCACGAGGAGCTCTACTGCTATAAATAATATGTGGAATGAAATTTGACATCAAAAGAAATGCAAGGACCATTTTCAATTTCGAATTGGTCCAATAATCCATTATGACTATCACATCCAATTAAATATATTATGCCAAATATGTAATGTTCTCGTTTAAACGACCTACGTTTATGTAACAATTCGACGAAGAAATGTGAGATTGACTTTCGTGATTATGAACGTGCGGTAATATTTAAAATGATTTTTCAAACATGAACCAGGCCACGACACGACCTGACGACTTGGTGACTGTGCTTGTGAAACACGTTCTTGGTTGATTTTCTCAGCCATGATTTTTGCGCAGTATGGTCGAAAGTTGTAATATATTTAATAATATATAATATATATAGTTGTCATCCCAAGTACAAAGAGCAATATGACATGATTTAAAAAAATAAGCTTATGCTAAATTGACATTATATTTTAACATATATGTGCATTGCAAACGTGATGCCTTGCCTAGAAGCAGGTTGCAATTGGTCCCACACTAGGCAGAGCCTGTCCGTGGCGACTTCATTACGACTTAATTATATTAAATTAATTTTGACAATGGTATATTAACAGTCAACCGTGACCATGGCACCTGTAAAGGGCCCGAAACGTCGGGTTGTTTGAAAAAACAAATATACGCGATTTCAATTCGGAAAAACAGTTTCATTTCCAATGGTATATTACGTTACACGTTGCATTGTCATTGTTTTAATAATAATAATAATTTAAATATCTTTTAATGTAATCTAAAATAAACACGAGGGAAAAACTAACGGAAATGAAATATAGAATGTTAAGATCAAATAGGAAGAATTTAAATAATTTAGATCAATATTCGTTATTAAACAAATTTAAATACTTGTACTCATTGACTTACAATTATATGGACGTCGGGTCCGCGCTAAAAAGTGTCCGCACTTGTAAGGCGCTAAAATCGTATACAGAGCGCCAAACTCCGCTTTAGTCTTCATTTGTTCGACTGACAGCGCGATACTGCGATGACATTACAATTTAAATTTCGAATAGGTTGACTTGGGACATTTTTTTCGTGGTTTTTGTATTAGACCCGTCGTCCATTTATTTGTAAGTCAATGCTTGTACTCTTAATTATACTCTTATAACTCGACAGATGTTGAGTTGGTACTTTCACACACAAATTAATTACAAATTTTAGTACCAGTAGGGTTCCTTGTGAAAGAGTTCGTCCAGGGAAGTACTGCCACCTTACCTATTTCTGCCGCCAAGCAGTAATGTCAGCATCACTGCGTTCCGATTTTGTAGGGTAAGGGTGCTGGTGAAATTACAGGCACACGGGACTTGTCAACTTATGTCTCAGGGTGACGAGCGCGTGGAAGT